CACACAGTCCCTCTCTTGGAGATTATCCTGGTCTATTCAGCAGGGGGATTCCAGCTGCCGCGGTGCTCCTTAAAGAAGCCGTCTAAACCCCAAATGTCAACAAGCTCCATTAACACACACACGTGCAGACATACTCGCAAGCCATTTTCTCTGTAAGACACACTGAATATTGTAAATGACTCTCATTTATACATAATGTGGGGTGAGATATGATTCAGGTGATTGAATGTTGTGACTTACATGCAACATTATAAAGTCCCTTCAGGGTCTGTGTGACGCTGAGTCTTTGAAAATAGTCCATTTAAAAGTAGCCTATCATACCATTGTCCCTGCAGAAAATGGTGCATTTGTTGATAATACACATTTCTTATCAGATAAGACTGCAGAACACATAACTATTACTACTACTATTTCTTCAAGAAAAGAGCTGTACCTTAGACAATGGGACATTACTGTATGTCATCTGCACACTTTGGAGCCACGATGACCTGTAAAATTAGGGTGCACACCATGTTCTCACATAGTGGAAGAACGAGTAAAAGAGTGCCATTGAATCCAAAATATAATGGAAGGAGGGTGAAGTGTATGTGTGTGTGCAAAGTGGTGAAGACATAAGGTTGGAGGTTTTATAGAGAACTAGGTTCTTCTTCTCTCTTAGACTCAAGGTAATATAGTCAACATAAAAGGTGCTGAGTATTAGATAATACAGACCACAGCTTTTTCTTCTCTCACTGCATTCCAGGGAATGATACCATGAGGCATATAAAACAGATTTGCTGGTCCTGCTTTCTTTTGAACACCTGTCTTTATAGCTTCAATATCTCAGGTAGAGAGAGAGGAGATATTAGGTGCGAATGGAAAGGTGGAGTAAAAGAATGAAAAGGCAATAGATGGAGAAGAAAGGAGGAAAGAGAGATAGAGTGAATGAGAAGTAAATGAGTTAGGGAGAGCGGGCAAGTGAGATACAGAGAGGACGGGGATATTATGAAGCCATTGAGAAGTGGCAGGGAGAGAGAAGGGATGAGAGGTGAATTATAAAACAAGGGAGTGAATGGGGTGAAGGCGAGGACGACCGAGTGGAGGGGTGAAAGGGACATGAACGACACAACTTAAACAAGATGTTAAAAGAGGGAGCGAGAGATAGTGAGAGGGGTGAGGGATGAGAGGGTGAATGATTACAACATCCGGTGGAGACAGAGGGGTGGAAGAGACGAGGAAGGGGGTGAAGAAAAAGCAAATAGTCATGAATGGAGGGGGGAAGAGAAAATGTATGAAAATGAACGAGGGAGGTCAGAGAGATGGAGGAAAGCAGTTGAAAGATAGTTAAGATAGAACTGTCCCTCAGGGAAAAAGCTGGCATTATTCTATATTGTTCTGATAAAATCTGAAAAGAAATCACATGAAAAGACCAAAAACCGATGATGCATTAGTCCGTCTCACAGTAGCTTCCTTTTTCCCTACTGTGTCTGCTGCTCTCGGGGAAAAAGGCCCACTGGTTTCTATGGATACATGAATCTTTAAAAACAGGTCAAAAATACGTAGTTTCATTTCATAAAAAGGCCCAGTATTGTCCTGAAACAGCTTTTAAGATTACTCAAACTGGAGTAATTAGTGCTCTTTTTGTGTACTATTTTATATACATTAGGTGCACTATTGAGTATTTATGGCGGAGGTAAGTAGGATTAATTTAAAATAAGCTACAGTATGTGGTGCTGGCACAACAATGGTTGTCTATGGCACAGAGGAATATCAGCCTTTGGCTACACAGGCGATAGTTGTTAGTAGGATCAGTCCACTGTTGGTTTTAGTCTTTTCATGTGATTTGTGGGCAATAAGAAAATACATCGAATATTGCTAGCACTGTCCTTTAAAAGGCCGTGGATCACAAACCTAAAAGGTGTCCAAATAGTGCGAGTATATGGTTTGGTGCTTCTGTGCTCATGTGTGCATGCCTATGTGTGTTTCCATACACACAAGGCTTAGGAGGAGGAGATTACTGTGTGATGCCACAGTCTGAGCAAACACAAACAAATGAGTGTGTAGTGAATGTGCATGTGTGAAGTGAGGAAGTGTATAGAAAGCAAACAAATATCTCTATCTGACCACACAGAGACACAGTGGTATGTAGAAAGGGTGTTGGTAACTAAGAATGGAAACTATTACTTGATATAAGTTAATAACTACAAGTAGGAGCACTCTCTGCTTATTCAGTAACATACCTGTGCGTACCTCTCTGAGTGTGTCTTTGTGATGCAACTTCAATGCAGTTCTGTTTATGGATGCAGCAAAATCAGTTTAAATAAATAAATGGTTAGTTTTTGATTCACAAGAAGCTTGGGATGCACAGTGCACAAACCAGACAGCACTGAGCGCTTCACACACCAAATTAATGATGTCACAAAATTAATCAATTAATGAAACTTTTGTTGGACAAATGAATACTAGAAAAATGCATTCAAATTGCCACGAAAAAGTGAATAAACATTTTTCGGTCGAGGTAACAAAATACATAACACTCTACTGAAATGTACTTATAGCTGAAAATTTGACAATCCCACAAACAGCTAGAAGATCGGTTTGTTAGCGAGCAGAGTGACTCGCCGGGTACGACTATAGCTGCCTGTATTAGCCTGTCTGTGACTGTGTGCAAGTGTGTGTGTGGGCTGAAAGAGTGAGAGAGAGAGAGAG